AGGATTATTGTACCTTCAGATATCAGGGATGCCAAGCTCTGAGTTGTAGGAAAAGGCTTTCCCAATAAGCCAAGGGGCAAAGGAAACTCAGTTCTCTGGCTGTTCCTCCCTGACAGCACAGAGGGGATTTGCTCAGCGTTCTTAGCTATGCTTGGCAAGGAGAAATTTGGCACTTAAACCTGGACCCTGCCCAGCAGAGCCTGGGGGGCAAGGGGCTGAGAGTCACAGTCAGGTTTCTCCAAAGTGTGGTTAAAAGCCCCCTTGCCAGATTAGAGCCTAAATACCACAGAAGGGCCTGGAGATGGAGGACTTGTGTGTCCCTCCTTGTGCCCTTGTCCATTGCTCTTGTGGGCCTGCAGAGGTTGGAGCCTGGGGCACTGTGGGGCTCTCGTTTCAGAAACACTGCGACAGGCAGAAGGCAAACCTGAGGATCCGCTTCAAGCCCTCGCTCTTCCAGCACGTGGGAACCCACTCCTCCTTGGCTGGGAAGATACAGAAGCTGAAGGTGGGTACCAGCTCTCTGTCCAAGCTGCAGGTGGCCTGGCCTGCAGGCACCCAGGAACTGACTGCTTCTGGGTGGGGACATCAGTGACAGCAGCTGGTGGCAGCTGGATTTCTGTGAAGTGGTTGTGTTTTATTCTGTGTTACAGTGAGCTCAGGCAGCTCCTGCTCCTCAGAATGGCAGTGACATGCACCTAGAGTCACTGCAAGATTATGAGCCTTGGTACCAGTCCTGGCCACCCCATCCTGAGTGCCAGGCCATGGTCCAGGCAAGTGACTTCAAAGAATCCACTGAAAAACCTTGGAGAGATGACTCCTGGGTTGGTCTGACTTCTTTCCCACTCCACTTCATGTTCCTGGGATTTGGTGATAGGCAAATTAAAACTCACTGTATAAGAGCTGGAATTGTTGATGTGTGTTTAAACATGAACACAATGCAACTTCCCACAACTACAAGTGCAGAATCCATGGACAGGCATCCCTGGGCTGTGCTGTCTGTGTGATCCCCAAGGAAATGGACGGTATAATCCAGTTTGTATGTGCTGTCACAGTGCAGTGCTGTCAGGCCATGTAATTCAGTCGTTTTATGCTATTGTCAGCCTCCCAGCTGCTTTCTCCTCAAGTGTAAAGACTGTTTCCAGAGCTCCTGGGGCATGGACAGGCGTTCAGAGACATTTGGACCATGAAAGGCTCCTTGGTGTGCTGGATCAGAGCACAGAGCAGAGGTGTTTCTCTGAGCTGCCTCTCCTGAAGCAGTGTCCTGGGATCCAGTCACACGTTCCCCTGCCTGGTGCCTTGCCCAAATTACTTCCATCTCTCATCCTTCTGTGCCCTGCAAATCACAGAATTTTAATTTGCAGTGCCTTGTAGCTGGGCCCTGGTTCCCCACGGGCCAGAGCAGCTCATGGCCCTTGTCTGCCCTTTTGCTTTGTGCCCTGCAAGGACAAGGACTTTGGAAAACACGCACTGCGGAAAGAGCACGTCAACCCTCCTGCTGAGGTGAGCACCAGCCTGAAAACCTACCAGCACTTCACCCTGGAGAAGGCTTACCTGCGGGAGGACTTCTTCTGGGCCTTCACTCCCACTGCCGGAGACTTCATCCGATTCAGATTCTTCAAACCACTCCGTATTGAAAGGCCAGTGCTTGAGGGGTCAGGGGGGTGTGGGGACAGCCCAGAGCATGTGGAGACACTTGACTTTTGCTCTTCTAGCAGTTTAAATCAAATTTCTTGCCTGTCTTCTGCTTGGCTGCCCAGAAGGAGAGAGCAGTGCTCTTCCAGGGGGAGGATAATTTGACCCTTTCTCAGTGGGGCCCCCTTTGCCAGAGCCCTTTGCTTTCCTGCACTTGAGAGCAGTCCATGGTTTAGCTGATCTGGCACAGAAAGTCTCCTGCCAAATCGTGCTGTGGGCTCTTTGGGAAGGTGCCTGTTAGGTTGAGCTGTTTGATGATTCAGATGGGGTGAAAGCCATCATGTGCCCCCTCGCTCAGTGTGCCTTTCTGTGGGTTTGGTCTCTGTCACAGGTTCTTCTTCCGCAGCGGGAACATCGAGCACCCAGAAGACAAACTCTTCAACACAACCGTGGAGGTTCTGCCGTTTGACGTAAGTGTTTGATTGAGATTTGAGGTGAGGGTGGAGTGGGAGGCAAAAGAGGTTTGAGAGGAGGGAACTGCTTAAAGCCATCAGGAAAATCTGTACAAGATTCGAGTGCCTCTTACAGGTGCTGGCAGGGAGCCAGAGGGTCATGCCTGGTGTGATGCCACCTCGGGAGCAGGGTGCTTTGCTGAGCACAGCTGTGGGAGCCATCCCTGCCTGGGGATGCTCCCGTGGGTGGGATGGCTGCAGAGGAGGGGATGAAGTCAGAATGGTGCAGTGGAAACAGCAGTGTGAGGACTGCAACTGTCCTCTTGTTCTTTGGGCACGTGTCTCAGGGTGCCAGGTATTGGATGAGATGCAGGGTTTGCTGGCAAGGACAGCTCTGGGATTGCTGATTTTCCTTGGGGCTTTTGGGTGACTCTTGCCTCTGGTCTTGCAAAAAAGCTCCTCTCCTTCTGCAGAGTCTGCAGTCAGATAAGGAAGCCTTGCAGGAGGGAAGAGGCACAGCCGTCAAATACCGCAGGACAGCGGATGGCTACATCCAGATAGGTACAGGGGGTGTGGGGTGGGAAAGTGCCTGCTGATAACACAGCCCATGTCCTCACCTGCATGTCAGTCAAGAACCTCAGAGCTGTTTGCTTGGCAAAGAGTAATTTCTGCTTGCCAGGAGCCAGGTTGGAAGAGGATTTGTCACTGTCTCCTCTCCTCCACTGCCCTCACTCTCAGACTAGGTTGTCCTCAGATCATTTTCAGTCCTGCATTCCTGCAAGTCCTGCTCAGAGCTGAGACCAAATTATGCCGATTATTTGTTTGCTTACCCTGGCATTAAAAACCTCCACTACGGGCAGTTTTGCCATCTATGTCCTCACACAACCTGCAGGTCAGACTTCTCTTGCCACCTGAGCTTGTTTTAGTGCTCGCCCTGCCCTTGGACAAGAACGAGCAATTGCAGCCTCCAGAGAGCTGCCAGTGTGTGATACAGCTCTGGTGTCCCTGCTAAGATTTTAATTTTTTTTTAAGTAGACAAATAAAAGAAAGATTTCCTGACACATGCAGTGTTTTGCCATTTTCTCATTCCTCTGCATGCTGGCTGGTTTCTCCCAGTTGCATTTAAAAAAAAAAATAATCAAAACCAAAAAGCATATCAGGCCACTCTGTCCCCTTTCACACAGCAGTGATATGTCACCAAATACTCCAAATAAATTTTGGTTTCTTTACCTGATTTGTCTTCTCCAACGTGTGGCATTTTGCACTGTATTGCCATCCACGCTGCTGGTTTTTAGCCTGTTTTGTGTTGGGGAGCTGCAGGCAGGGGCTGCTGGGGATGTTGGTGCCCTGGGGGAGAAGGGGCAATGCCAGAGGACCATCCCTGTGTCAGCCATGTGCTCTCCCCACCAGGCTCATTCTCCAAGGGCGTCGCAGAGGGTGAGGTGGACCCATCTTTTGGGCCACTGGAGGCCATCAGGCTGTCCATCCAGACCGACTCCCCGGTGTGGATCATCCTGAGCGAGGTAAGCCAAGCTCCCAGGCACCTCCCCACCCCTGCCTTGCTCATCACTCTGATTCCATCCCGCTCTTCTTTCAGATTTTTATCAAAAAAGCAGAGTGAAGCAGGCATGAGGCAGAAGGGACACCCTCTGGATCCCTGCTCCTGCTCCCTCCTCCCCGCGGCGCCTTGCCCGGAGCAGGACAGCGCAGGGACTCGCCCGCGGCAGAGCTGCTGCTGCTGCACCATCCCCAGCGGGGCTGCGGGGCCAGGATGGGCACGGACTTCTCCTGAGGAGGAGCAGAAAGCAGAACCCAAGCCCTGTGCAGAGGGGTGGCTTTGCTCCGCTCCCTCGGGGTGCTGCTGCTGCTGGGGACACACGGGACAGTTTGGGGTCGGGATGAGCTCCAGCCAGCATGGGGACAAAAAGCACCTTCAGCCCCAGACAGGGCAGTCTGTGGCTGTGTTTGGGGACAGAGCAGGTCACACCAGTCCTGCCAGCTGACCCCACTGGCGTCCTGGGATGGAGGTGGCAGGGCTCGAGGTCTGCCTTGCCCTCTCCCAGGCAGCAGTCCTGGCCACAGCTGAGGATTAAGTGAGGGCAAAGACTGACCCTCCTTCAGCAGAGGAGGAATGAATCCAAAGGGGTTGGAGCTATGATTATGGCAGGGAAAACAAAAAAATAAAATATGCCACACTGTGCCTGCCAGCATTGAACACAGCCCCTTAACTCACGGTGAAGTCTCCAGTGTCTTCATGCCTTCAGATTGAGTGCAGAAACTGTCTTTTAAATAACTAATTCAGTTATTGATCAATGTGGGTTTTTTGGGGACGGAAAAAGAAAAGCAGAGGTAGCCCAGTTCAAAAATAGTAGGGATTAGTGTAAATCCCAATGTCCTTTCAGCTATACACTGGAATGCATTATACTACTTTAATGTTCTGTATTTTTTATTATTGGATACATTTGATTTTTCAAGTACATCTCTCTATATAAATATATAAAATAATGTGCACTGTAATAAAAGCTGAATTTAAACCTTTGGTGCAGTAGTGAGAGTCACTTGCAGCAGGGCTGCTTTAGGCACCTGTGAACCCCAAGTTCACAGTGGAGGGTGGAATTTAGGGAGGGCAAAGTCCTTTTGCAGAGCTGGTGATAAGTGAAGCTGGGGTAAAGAAAAGGTCATTTAATCAATGCCAAACAGACTTTAGCACTTGGGCTAGGGTCAGGCTTTTCTCCCAATATTTGGATGTGGTTTTAGGCAAGCTTACCCATCATTTTCAGTTAATCACAGCTGCTTTTCCTATGAAACCCAGTTCCCAACTTAGATGTTCTTACATCAGTCTCTGAGTGCCTTTGACAATCACAGGTGATTTCTAGTGAGGAAAAGAATTTATTTTTTTATATCCACGGTGTGATTCTTCAACATAGATCATTACAGCAGTAAGGAGGAGAGACGACAGCATGTGGGTCAATGTGAGCTCCATGAGGCAGAGCCAGAGGCATTTTAGAGCAGACAGTGCTACAAAGCCCAGCAGTGAAGCTCCTCAGCAGGGGCAGGGGCTGGAAAGCATTTGCTTTCTAGAAGGGAAATTATCTCCAAAGAGCAGAGGAGTGCCAGCATCCATCTCCCTTCAGCAGGGAATGCAGAGCCAGGGAAATGTTCTCTCTCTGATGGTGCCACATGACTGGCTCCCCTGTGCAGGGGCAAACAGTGGGATTTGGGGGAGCTGTGCCCCCTCTCACCAGGCACCACAGAGCTGGAGAGGCCACACCAGTGCAGCCATCCATGTGGAGGAGCTGGGCCTCAGGAAGTGTGCCAGGAGCCCGGCCAGTGCCAGCCCCAGCAGCACCCAGAGCAGCCAGGCACTGGCATACAGTGGTCCCAACCTGGGTGGAGAAAACCCCGTCAGGCACTGCCAGCCCACCAGGGCACTCAGGCAGGGCTGTGGGTCCCCACCCCCCTTTGGGACAGTCGGGGAAGAGGAGACACAGCCACGAGCACACGGGGGCAGGAGGGGAGGAGGAGGAGGAGGTGAAATCTGCCTGCAGTGCCAGCCATGGGGAGGAAGGCTGTTCCAGGGGCCAGGCCCTGCTGCCAGGCTCCCCGGGCTGCTTTGGGTGCCCCTGGGGGGGTCTGTCCTTACCGTGCCTGGGCAGCCCCGGCGTAGCCCTGGAAGTACCTGAGGCGGGTGTAGAGGTACAGCAGCCCACACGCCGCAGTCACACCTGGGGGACAGGGCAGCTGAGCTCTGCTGGGGCTCAGGATCCCTGCACTGCTGCAGCTGCATTCCAGCACAGCCCCCCCAGCAGATGGGCATGACCAGAAAACCAAGCACAGAGTGATTGGCTTTAAACACTGTGGGAGTTTAAATGAGTTTTCTACCTTCCCTTTTTGTGAGGGATGAACTTCTCTGCCCCACAAGTTGTCTTGGGACTTGGGTTGGCAATGCTCCCTTATGTGGTTTCTCCTCACAAATAAATGGTTGCAGCAACCAAATCTCCTGAGCTTGCTTGGTAGGGATATACAGTGGATGAGTAAATGTTTGGGTTATGGTTTGTTGTTCTGACATAGCTCTGCCTCAGCTGCTGACACCTTGGCACTCTGGGACAGCCGAGTGACCTTGTCCAGGAGAAGCAGCACAAGGGGACAGCCAGACTCCAGCAAAGGAGCAAGGGCTGCCAGTGCTTCTCCTCCAGGCAGGAATGGGCTCAGCTGCTCCCAGCTGGAGCTGAGGCACTTCTCAATCCAGCTAAAGGGAAATTTGCTTTCCTTGAACAAGAGCCTCACAGGCATAGAGAGAATGCCTGAATCACAATGGGATTTAAACTGGGGCTGGGGTTCTTTGGTTTGTTCACACGGTTTGGGTTGGAGTTCCCCCCAAGTCCCTCTTACCTTGATGGAAGAAGATTCCAGCAACCCAGAGGAGGGAAATGAAGATTGGGAAGTACTCTGAGCAGTTTGCCCTGAGGAGAACCAGAGATGAGAGTTAAAACTGCCTCCTTGTACATCAGAGCTGGATAACCAAGGCTGGAGAAAGGAATTGGAAACTCATATCAGAGCAAACTAAAAGAGCTGATGAGAACCATTGCTGTGCTGTGGGAAAGGAGCCTTTTCTGATCAAGCACACCCAATATCTGTATTGTAGAGAAAAAAGCAGCCAAACAACACACAGCATTCCCCTCTCCTGCATTCATATGGCCCTGGAAGGACAAGCTGTGGCTGAGATGGAGATTTGTCTCTGCTGGACCCTCGACAGGCTGCTGCTGGGGGAGAGCCTTGCCAGTATTTAAGGAGCTCTCTCTTCCCCTTGGGTGAACACAGCCCAAAGTTGGGAGTCACACAAGTCACACACCAAGAAGGAGCCTTCTCTTAGATAAAATTCAGCAGGAGGTGATCAGATGTACAGCCAGGTTTTCCTCCTTTTTGCTTTAGTGATAAAAATACAGATTTTCTGTAAGAAGAGTAGGAGCTGTGATATTAAAGACATTGGTTTTGCTTCTCCCACATTTTACCATTCCCTAGGCAATTTAATCTTAATGTTGGCCAAAAATATACAAACCTTTGGAGAACAGAGCCAGACTGGGAACTGGAAAAAGTCTGAAGAACCTTCTTCTGTAAATGCAGTTTGAGCCTCAGTGAGGGGAGGCTGCCAGGTTTCAAGTGAGTAATGCATCAATACCACTTTTTCCCATATTTTTTTCAAGATATCAAATTATCTATTTGTATACTCCTCCACATGGAAACGAGAAGAAAAACCCACAAAGAAGAAGTATCTTCTCAAGTCCAAGCTCCCCGAGGTCACCTTCCCTGCCGCAGCCCATGGCATGACTTGGTTAACACACATTTAATAGTTAAATATTTAATTAAAAGCCACATCAGCAGCTCCCCAGCTCGCAGAGGCTGATGTCTCCAGGCAGGCTGGCCTTCCATGGTCCCACAGAGGGACTGAAGCTGGTGTTTTTGTCACTCCACAAACGTTTCCTGTGTGCTGGCAAGGGAGCGCAGCTGCTTTGTTCGGGATTTAGCGCCGGGCTGGAGCTACCCTTCACACCAGCTCCAGCCAATTCCTTTCAACCGCTTACAAAACAGAATGGCTGAGATGAAAGATGGAATCTGGTGCTTGCTGGAAGCCGGAGGGATCTGTGAACGTTTCCAGTTTAGCTCCAGCATTGCTCTCTCCATAGGAACAGAGCAAAAAGAAGCAGCCCTCAGCAGGGGCCCACGAGTGCTGATTCTCACAGTACAATGGCTTCTGAAAGGGAAAAAATTAAAATGCCCTTGGAGCTGGTTCTGCCAGCAAGGCCCTTTGCTTCAATTCAACAGCAAAACATTACAAGAAAATATCAGGTTATTAATAAAGCTTTGGCTGCTCTCACCATTTGGAGCCAATGGTAATATTAAATTTAATGATTCTAATTGTGAATGCTCTGCACCTCCTCCATACGGCCACTAATTTGTAATTTGGCTGCCTCACAGTGCCAGAAGGAGAATTATCATGGATGGACAGAAACACCCCAGCCAAAGTGCTCCAAATCAAAATGCAGACCTTTGCACACAAAGCATTGAAAAAACAATATATAACAGGAGCAGTAAGTGGAAAGGTGATTGAGGGAGGCCAGTCTCTCCTAACAGTGACAGTTGACTCATGTGTTATCTAGACAAAGTCACCACAAAAAGTCAAAATCTTACTGAGCTCTGAAGGTCCTCTCAAATTCAGGGTGACCTGTTGTTTCAGGAGGGGAAATCTTGTACTTGCGACGGGCGTAGATCACCTGCATTGCAAAATAGGCTGAAAACAGAACACAGGAATGGTAACAGACCAGCAGTGTTTATTTAGCCAAGTGTTATCTGGCTTGGAATCAAGCAAGTGGTTAGAATGAAGGAGCTGATATGATCTGGGTCCATAGTCCAGGGCTGTCACACATGACCTGCAACAAATGTGCCATTTATTTCACTCTTGTGCTTTAAATTCAGGTTTGGTTATCCCAGCTGAGTGCCAGTGCTGGATGACACTTTGCATCATCTCACACCCAGCAGAGCCCTCAGTGCTGCAGATCAAACACAATAAAACCTTACCAAGTCCACACTGAGCCACAGAATTACTTCTGAATCTTGCACTTTGTGTTTAGAGGACACGTGCACCCTCAGCCAGTCTGATGGGAATGACATGCAACATTTTCTGCTATTCCCAGTGGGTGCAAATTATGGCCCATGTCACAGAGCAGCATCCAAACTGCCAAGCACTGGGATATCATTAAGTCGATTGGAGATGCTCCCAATCATGGCAATAAAAGGAAAAGGAAAGAGGGTGATTATTTCTTGCTCTTCACTCCTGCAGGACAGCCCCAAGGCTGTCAGGGAGCAGAGGTGCTGCCCATGCCTGCTATCAGCCTGTGCCAATTTGAGCCAAGGCACTGACTCAGGGTCTGCCACATCAGTCCTTTGTACGTTTGTAAAGGACATGGAAAGTCACTTCAAAACAACAAAAACTTGCTAACATGAAGATTTGGAATGCTTCACTATTTATTGAAAGCTCCCACTCTCACAGGCAATTGCTGATGCTCTGTTTTATTTAGGTACACTACTACACTGCTGTCTATTGAAAATTCCTATTTTCATATAGGAGAAAACTAAATTATAAAAACAATTACTTTGATGGCTCTGGTGGTGTCACTGAGACACTTCAGTGAGCAAAGCCCTCACATAGCAACATTTCCAGAGCATTGCACAGAGAGACGAGGAGCCAGGGTGCAAGGCCTGCCCTGGGGACTTCCTATTGTAACAAAGATAAAAGCAGAACAGCAGGATAGAGAAGGGGAAGTAGGGACAGATGTTCCAAGATTAAAGACAAAACATGTGTCTGCAGAAAAGCATCAGAACATATGTAAAAGGGAATTAGAAATGTAAATAATCTGATGCTATGTGACTTGTGTATCACAAGTTTTTACTAACATAAACAGTCATTCCTTTCAGAACACATGTAAGAACAATTAAGCATGTTCTAGCACCTTCCACAGGGCCCAGCCCTGAACAAGAGGTGCTGACAGAGCAGAGTGGGGGAAACAAGAATGTTTCCTCCTCTTTGATTCATTTGTAGCAGGTTCTCATGGGTGAGTGTGTCACCCTTCTGCAGATCCAGCAGGACAGGACAGTGTTCCCTCTGTGAATCCAGAGAGGTGCAGCACACAACTGGAATTCAGCAGCTGCTGGAGAGCTCTGGGAATAAGATGAAACCACAACCCATCTTGTTACCTCTCCTCCTCGCTGATGCTCTCAGGGCTTCATCCCAATCTCCTCTCCAGAAATGGGCTGAGCTGAAGTTACAGCATAAGAGCAGACCTGGCTTGTGGCATCAGCCCAGCTGTGCTGGGCAATGCTCTTCGTGCTGCTTTGTGCCATCTGCACCTTCCCTAAGGTAGGATTCTGGTGACTGATGGCTGAGGGAAGAGTCATTCACATCAAACCTCTCCACCAGCTCTACACTTAGCATCTTGCTTCTAGACACAGGGGCCAATATTCAGACAAGTCCTACACAGATCCCTGACACTCAGGGATGGGTGACATACAAAACAACCACCCAAGAGGAGCAGGAGCCTTGTGGAGAACAGCTGGCTGTTCCCCAAACCTGGTGTAAGGGTGAAGAACTGAGGATGAAGAACCAGTCCACAAAAGCACTTCTCAAAATGAGGTGTTGAAAAAACCTACACTGCATGAGCCTTCTCAGCAGAGATAAATCTGCTCTGCAGAACCTTTCAAAGCTTTTTTTTTTTTTTTTGTTATTCATGCCTCGAGGTTAATCACCTGTGTGGATTCCCATGTGGCTTAGGGGCTCGGCTCTCCCTGAACTTTGCCCTTCAGTGGAAATATTCTTCATTCTCTATTTGATTATGTCCACAAACTTGTCAAATCATATCATAGTTGCTATCTGCCACATTTGAGTGAACCTGGCAAACAAGCCCTCTGGGGCCTGACAGTGACATTGCATAAGTTTTCTTTCCTTTGAAACTGTAAAATAAAGGAGTGGGCAAAAAAAACTGGAGTAGAATAATTTTGCTCTATGGTACAATGTTCACCACAAGGCTGGGGCACACATCTAGAGAGTGCTAAACTCAGGGTTTCACTAAACTGAGAATGACTAAATTAAAAAGGGGAAAGTTACTTGAAAGAACACAGAAACTGCAGGCTCACAGAAAATTCAAAAGGAAGCATAAAAATCAACCAACACTGTACCAAGGTCAGCCATTAAATTACACCTCCTGCACCAGGATGTGACGGAGCAGTGTCTGTAGGGATAGCCCACGTCCATGCTTCAGAGGGAATCCCAGACTGTAACTCACCTACAGAATGTCCTTTCAAAACATGCAGAGAGTCACTGCACAGCTCTGAACCCCAGTGAAACAGGCACACAGATTTCACAGGACTAGATGGAAAGGAAACACACAGTATTTTGCAATTGCTCCCTGGCTTCCCACACAGATCATAAAACCAGGATACGTCATGTGATCGAACAGATAGGAGGGTGCCAATGTCAGCTATTTATCTGCTGGCTTCACACCTGGCTTGATATGCCATCAAAGTAAAATGCTTAATGCTGCAACCTTTAAAAACTACTTGAAATTCTCATTAAACAAAAATATTTGAGACAAAACTGTTATCTAGGGATTTGCTGCTGAGGGTTTCCTAAAGGAAAAGGGCTCAGCAGCATTTCTGTAACTGAATTTCAAGTTTTCTTCATGTCTTGTCTTTGCACACTAAACACTCGCTCCACTCCCACTTAGTTTAAGAAAAAAATTCATAGTACAAAAGTTTCTTCCATTTGTAATTGTATGTCTCTGTAAATTGAGTGGAAATGACTGAAAATTAAAAATAGAGCTCAAGACTTCTGAAAGTGGCATGTTTTGTTTTAAATAATGCTTATATTAAGAGAATTATCATCTGACAGCCAAAAGCACATGATGCTGCTCAGAGATTCACATCCATTTGTAAGCAGGTGTGATAGCTGATAGTATGGTGAATTAATACAGTAATAACAAATCCCACAGACCTTTCCTTAGAGAATGGTGAAGATTGTAACAAAATGGGGGCTCTGTCCCCATCCCAGGCAGGGGAGTGACTGTCCTGAAGCTCAAGGGGGAGAAACTTTGCCCAAACGATCCACCAATAAATAGAGCTTGTCACCAATGCTGCTCCTTCTAAATGGTCTAAACACAATGCATCTCTTTAAATTAGAAGTCACCGAGTTCCTTTGAAGAGCTCTGTGTCTGTTTCTGACCAGAACTTGCATGTTTCCAAATTACTGTGCTCTCAGTCCACCTCGTCATCTGCTCTGTGCCATACGAACATGCAAGGACACTGATCACAGAGAAACACCTGTGTGCACTCTTTCCTACATCCACACCAGCTCTGTCTGTACACTGACCTCCCCACCAGCACATTTACTAACCTGCCTGTATTTTGGCTACCTCCAGCCACTGCAAGTTACAAATTACCTGCTAAAATGCAATCACAAATTAGTTTATTTCAATAACATCACGTTGAAAATGCTTTAAGTATAAAAGTTTTACTTGCTGGCTTTGAGGATCATTTTAAATAATGTTAAATAATGACCACCCTCAGACATGACACTTCTACCATTAACAGCCAAAAATTTGTATCATTTTACCATGCTGGAAAACAGTGACTTTCACTCCACAGACACTCCAAGAAAAACACAGGAACCACATCTCACAAAATTTAACATCATTAGCTGAACACTGGCATTGTACAAAGGGCATTTACCTTGCTCCAGGACGCCCAGAACTGTGACTGTGGCCAGCAGGTCTATTTGATCTCTCATGCTGCTGACTGTGGAGGAAACCCCAGTGTGACGTGCTGGGTACAGCAGGTCCAACACTGCCTCTGAGCAAGGTGTGTTTCCTCCACCACACCTTAGCTCACCTTAACTCTCTTCACACCACGTGGTTTCCCAAAGCAGCCACCCACCAGAAAATGTCTGTTCCATTCAGCCAAGTGCCTTTTGCCGAACAACAGAGCAAGGAAGAATTTTACATGAGCAAACTGTGAAATTCTTCTAATTACATTTACAGACTTTATACCATGATTGAATTACATGTTGCCAGCAATTGAAAGATGATGGAATTATCTCCAGCCCTTTTGTTGCTAGTTTTAATGAGCTCTGAAGCATCTCAATTATGTGCAAGGTTGTAAAAATTATTAACAAGCATTTACAAATTAATGACTTGACCTTCTGCTCTTATTTCAAGTAGTGGAGTTGACCACATGAAAGATTCGACAGACTCCAGCTGGAATAACTTAATTCTGTTCCCAGAATCTGTGATTTAACAGAACATTCAGATACTTTATCCTACTAATTACTACTCTTCAGTTTACCAAAGAGGAGTACAGTTCTTTCTGCCACTCACTCACCCTTAGTAGTTTTCTGAAGTTTTTAAGCAATACAAACTATTCCCTGCCTAACATACAAAAGAAAAGTTCTCAGTTCTGAAGGCAGCAGAGGATGTAGAAACATACAGACCCTGAGAAATGTTACACTGGCATCAGAGTTATAACTGTAAAATGTAAAATCGGAAAACCAGGAATGTTTTAGCCCTGAACAACTTTTCCCCCACTCCACAAAAGTAAAATTGGCATCAGTTCAAAAAGGAACCTTATGTTCTTGAGCAACTTTATATGGATGACTACTCTGACTTTAAAATTTTTAAAATCAAAGAGGAGGAAGTTTTTCCCTTAATGTTGGTGGCTGAGCCATTGCAGTTCTCTGTTGAGTCACACACACAAACCCTCACTACAGAATTTGTGCATGTACCAGACCTACAGTTTCTCCCAAGAGGGACATAGCAAGATTTTTTTCCATTTGGCTCTTCATTGCTTCAAAACCCTACTGTGACTGCTCATCAAGTTGAAAATTCAGTTAATCAATCAAATATCCAATGTTACACTTTTTATGTATAACCGCACACGTAGAATAGCAAAACCACTCCCTTTCTCTAAAAAACATTCATATGATGTGACTTCAGCCTCTCCAAGGTACAGCAGACTCAGACTAAATAAAACTAAAACCTAAAAGTTAACCTTAACTGAACCTATTGGTGACCAAAGATTTCATCTGTGGTGTCCAATATAAAAGTCAGAGGGGAAATGCCACTGGGGTCTCCTTACAACATATTTCAACAAACAATGCAGGCTTGAGAAAACTTTCATTACACATTTCCATTACTGTCAGGGAAAACACTGGCATCAAGAAAATAAAAATCAGATTCTGAGCAAAGGTTTGTGACAAGCTGCCACTGACTCCTTAAAATCTTTTGAAAGCCACAGATGTCATTTCAGTGGGGAGTGGTTTGGGAAATTTCTGTTTCACTCAACAATAACCAAAATGCAGCATTTTTAATGAGACAATAAAGCAAAAATTGATGTAACTTCATGGTTCCCCATGGGCTAAAAGCAGCTGATTCTGGTACTGCTGTTGACTGCTACGTTTGTTTCTTTATAAACTTCTGAAGTTACAGGTCTCCTTCTCTCCCAAACAGAACACAAAACTTGTAGAGTAGGAACACATTAAAAACACACTCTGGTAAGCCAGGGGCTGCAAACACAAATGCACCATGACACCAACTGCAAAGCTCACAGAATGATCAATGTCTGAAGCTGGGCAGTGGCTAAGGGACTTGAGCAGCCTGAAGCCAAGAGCTCCACACACGCTGCTGCCAGTACTTTGCTCCTTGTTCAGAAACATCAGCTCCTGCTTGCAGCACGTGTCCCACGTCCCAGCTGGATTCCTGTGTGTGCCAGGTGCCTGCATCAGACAAGTCTTGAGGAAATCAGTTTGAACCTCTAAAAGCTGTTATTCTGAGGGAATTGGCATATTTTGGAACTCCACAATTTTGCAATGTGAGGTCGTTATTAACATCTTTTTCACTATTAACAACCACCTCTGCATTGAGGTGGTTGAATTGAGGTTGAATTTCTCAGCTTAAGGTCTACAATGCATTCCAGAAAAAAAAAAAAACCCAAAGCCCGGAAGCAGTGGGAGTAGCATAAAGCCTGATTTTCAAAGTTACATTTTCTAAGGCCCCTTTATTCAATTCTGGCTGGTTTAAATGGACTTTCTGAAACCATAAGAATTGTAAGACAGAGCAGCAGAATTTGAGCCTTAGTAATAAATAGGCTGAGCAAAAATTGTGTGTTAGGATGACAGGAAGAAACCACCTCACTAAGAACGACAATGCTGAATGCTAGGCTCATGCAAATGTATAAAGTCACACCATGTATATTTAATACACTAGCAAAATATTTATTTTATAATGATAAAACAGAAGTGAAGGATTTCTTTTTGGTGTGCACCAGTAATTGTAGTAAAAGAATAAGGGGATTAATGGACTCTTTATACATTTCAATGACAAAAATTCATAAAGGTTAGCATCAAATTCAACTGTTCTCCATTTACAAGCATAAAACTTACCATAATACCCCCCAAACACATATATAAAGAATTATAGTTTTAAAATCTATAAAAAGTAAAAAATATACAGTCAGAAGATCTAACTCTTATTCAAATCTTTAATATAAAATTGTAAACATTTATTTACACAAAGGAAATGTGTATAACAAAATTTTGAGCACCCTTTTCAATTGGATCGTGGTTTTTGGAAGGCAGTGGATGTTGCACAGTGACACTCTCACCTTGCCTGCCCAACCAAAACCGCAGTTTATAAATAAAGCCATGGGCGGCCGGCTGGGTTCAGTTCAGGGGAGATTGGTTTTATTGCTCTGAAGCTGCAGCAAATGGAAAGCCCGAGTGCAGACACAGCCAGTGACACATCACAGGGCAGCAGGGCAGAGCCCAGCCCTGCCCATGCACCCGTGTACATCAAAACCGTATTTTCAAATCCATTGAACTGTTCCAACCTTGTTCCAGTGGCACCGTGCTCTGTGCACAGGGACCAAAGCCAGAGCCAGGGGCTCTTTGGATCCTGTTCACACACGGACACCAATGGGCATTAAAAGCCAGTTTGTCTAGAATCACACCTAATTGTACTCCAACAGTACCATGAAAAGGCCCTGTCATCAAACCCAGATACCTTCCTGAACAAACCCTCTGGTCAAGCAGAGCAATATCCACCTTAGCTTCCAGAAACAGCGGAGGAAAGAGCACACCTGCCTTTTCCTGGACATTTCGCTGGATTGCCTTTTTGGTAGTAATAATGCAAACAGCAGATGTTCTTTTCCTCCAATTAAGAAATCACAACTGGATGGATTGTATTTTAACTTATTCAGAACCAAGTTTGTGTGCAAAATCTACTGGAAAACAGAGCAGATTTCACCACAACCTAAACAGGGAGAAAGAAAAGCTGAATCCTACTACCCTGTTATTTCTGTTAAGTGTTTGTAAGGGGGAGAAAAAAAACAGTGACATGGAAAGATGTCACTTGAAATTGAGGTCCCAAGCACCCCCGACAGGAAGGGAAGGCACACTGGTGCAAAGTTAACCCTTAAAATTAAAAATACAGCAAACACTCCTTCCCCTGACATTGCTAGTTTATATCTATACTCTTCTAATGACACTTACCTTGGACCAGTTTTTGGTTTAACTTAACAGTAAACCAAGCTCACTAGCTCTTTTCTTAGATTGCCAGTATGAGAAAAGCTAGCTCAGTTATTTGCATCTCAACTACTTATTCTAGAAAATATCAGAAGTGTCAACAACCAAAGTCACCAACAACTTCGTCTTCCCATCCAAAGACAATCTTTATGTTATCTTTTCAAAAGCTCTATGAGGGATTAAGTCTGCTTCAGTGAAGTTTTATTCACTGTTTAAAGGTGGGATCCACTGATCAATGCACATCTTTCATCAACAGTTCAACATGATAAAATAGCAAATCTGATCAACAGAGCGGAATTCATCCACACTAGCTAAGTGTGCTGGACAAACCATGTTCCATGCATATTTGGAAAGGGTTAAAGTATTAGTGTTAAAAAAGCAGTTTTCAAAAGTGCAAATTGTCTCATAAAGGAGCTGCAGATACAGTAAAATATTTTCCTTCTCTGAAACCAATGATATCTTTCCCTTCCCTTCACCCCCTCTGGAAAAAAACCCTCTCTCACAATTCTGCAATTCAGAAAACTCCCAGAGAAGCCAGTCTGTGTTGAAGGAAATTGCTTTTAAAATCACAATGCTGGGTTTGGTTAGAAAGTTTAGAGGAGTTTTCCAAGAAAGTGGATTTAGAAAGGGAAGAGGTATTTGTGCATTTAAAACAAAAGCTTTCAACTTTATTTTCATTTTAAAATAAACATTAAGGCAAGGTGGTTTGTTGGTGGATAAGAGATTTTTTTTGGTAGAGAGTAAGGACTTTGGAACATTGACTGTTCCCATTGTGGTTTTTGTCCTTTCTGGGACCAACCCCAACTTATGGATAAGAGGTCTCCTTGGGCTGAGCTGAAGAACAGCATCTGCTTCAAGGGATATTAAAAAAGTAAATCCACCAGTCTATAGAAAGATTATCAAACTTGTAAGCCAGTATTAAAAAAAAAAAACAAAGCATTTAAAAGGGGAGACTTCCACATTGGAGCAACCCTGATACAAGTATTCTCCCAGGCTGCCTGTGCTATTATTGCTAATAAGGACTTTCCACCTCCCAGCCAAATTCTTTTTTCCTCATTTTTATCCTGAAGTGACAAAGTCTTGTGCTCATTGCTAACTTCAGGGGATGAACTGTTCTCAAAGGTTAGTTTTACTTTTTACAACAAAGAAAACTAGATGAGCTGTCATGAAGCAAAGCCTTCATTTAAATACAACTACCTTTGGAAATAAGTTATGAAGAAACAGGTGCAAAGTAAATGGCTTTACAATTCATGTTAAACCTACTATAGTTTAAAAGTTCTCCCATAAGAAATTCCCCCTTTAAACACAGCAAGGTACAAGCCAAGAACTGTGCCTCTCTACAACAGAGTGCAAACTGCAGCTTAAAAGACTACAATCTATGAAGATGACTATCTAGACTAACTGGCCAGGTTTTAATACTTTTTCTCATCTATTACCAGCATCTAGAAATATTTACTGTGAAATATCACTTGCTTACTGAGAGTACAGGCACATGCTTCAGCAACGGGGAAAAGAAACAATTCCAAACATTTTGCAAGCATACTCAGTTGCATACAGCCTCTTCTCAAACAAAAATCAGAAGTTGGATGGACAGTACTATAACAGCATGTCAAGCTATGAACAAATAATTATTGCAAGTAATAGCTGCAGACTAAGCCCTAAACACATTTTGTGCAACTATTTGCGTTCTTTCTGCACTAGTTCTGTGGAATTTTTGTTTTGTTTTTAAATAATTAAAATATTTAGTCTTAGAACACTGCAAGTGAGATTTCTGGAAGGCTGGCTAGGACACAGTATTTTTTGACCTGTTCAAGTGTGCGACTCCTCAGAGGCCGCAGCCAAAGCGCACTCCTCCTGCAGACCTGCTTGGTGCGCCGTGACCACGCGTCAACGCTCAGTGAGAAGCAGCTCCAGTCTTTTTCCCAACCATTTACCTCTAATGCCTGCAAGTCTCCTCAATGCCACAGGTTTTTTGGTCCAAGAGTTGTTTGTATCTCATGAAATAATTAAAAAAGTAGAACCCCTGTCCCCAGCCCCATTTTAATGAGTTCCTAACAATTCATCCAAATCATTCATCCACTCCTCTGAAGTCCTGTTTTTCAGCAAAGAGTCTATCAGATCTGTGTCACCAGTTAAGTTCTGAAGTCCATTATTGCCTGACTGGCCGCTGTAGGCAAAAGGCAGCTCCTGACTGGTCGTCCTCACAGGGTACCCTTGGCTACAGTGCAGGTTTCCTCTGTTGGGAATTTGCTGATTTGGGTTCTGGTTGAAAGCATTCAGGTCTGGAACAGTCTGGTTGATGCCAGGCAGGACTTGCTGTGCGGGTACCTGCTGCTGTGCGGGTGCGTTTGTCCGCGGCTGCGCTCCCAAAGAGGACGGGAGCATCTGCCCAGAGACGGCAGCGTTCATCGAGGTCATGGGCCTGCTGGTGCTTAGGCTTACCTGAGGCATTCCCTGGGCAAACTGCTGGTTGGACATCTTTAGATGTGTCTGCTGCATGTGGAAAGAGGAGTTGGCAGTAAATGGTCCTAAGCCACTGTTTGCTTGTGTCTGGTTGTTAATATTAGGGATACCTTGGTGTTGCCAAGATGGATTTTGAGCCCCCATAGCAGCTGGTACTCTGGACATCTGTGGCTTAGATAAGGTTGCATTCAGTGCACCTTTATTGTGCTGCTGAGAAATATTTGAGTTTGGTAAGGTGTTCTGCCCGTAGGCAGCAGGAACAGCAGTGCCCTGGCCCAAGCTGCCCTGTCTCTGCATCGGGGTCTGTCCGTTGGCACTCGGAGTCGTGTGCTGGGCAACCATCTGGCTCATGCCACCTGCCAGGTTGTACAACCCCCCACGCTGCATGTTCTGCATGCTGGGGTACTGAGACACCCCCCGCTCCTGCTGGCTGGAGCCTGACTGCAGGGGAGCAACAGGAGTGTGTCCAGGTCCCATGGGAATAATGTTCTGGCTCTGAGGAAACAGCCGAGGACTGCCGGAGCTGGACTGTCCTAAATTACTGACCCCAGGCATGGCTGAAGATGACCCTGAAATAAAAGAAATATTTTGTTCATTAAATACCTCAGGTTCAACCAGAGCCAACCAGGCTTGTAGGCACAATAACCCACAAGAGAGATGCAGCTGCATTTGTATAAATTGACCTCTGCAAGCAACACACAGAGAGCAGGAGTTTAATTAAAGAGTGTCAACTGTGGCTGCAGTTAGCACCTCACCTTGATCTCAAACACAGATATGCCAATGTCCTAAAAAAATCTGAATACCACTTCTAAGAGTTCAACATCACTAATTTAAAAAAAATTATGACTTTAAAGGCAGGACTCTGATATTTCTTTGTGAACAAAGGTAAACATCTATACTTTGAAGTGCACGCACAATTTACTAAGCTGTTAAAAATACCTCTTATTGCACACACACACACTGTCAGTCATTCCATGCATAAACAAGAGTGCATCTCTTATCATACAATTGCAGAGTTGCCAGTTCTGCGTTTTCCCAATTCCAGGAATATCTTCTGTTTGTCTAATATAGAAATAT